CTCACATGATCTTGATTGTATTGTTTGTTTGTTTTCCAGTCACCTTTTACATAGCGGCAATTCCATTTCCATTGAGGTCCTTACTTGGTTTGAACTTTAAGAAATGGAAAGAGGATTTTCTATTTGGAATGGAGTGGCGGATGTTCACATTGCTCTTACAAAGGATAAGCCGGCGATATCATGGCCACCAGATCGAAGGCGAGAAAACGGACTATCTTGCTGGGAAAAGAGCAATCGGATTTGCTTATTGACAATGAAAAAATCCATTCAAGAACACTTGAAAAGTGGTTTGCCGGTGGCCCATCTTGCTAAGGAAATGATGACGACCTTAGAGGCTAGAAACCGCATTTCATCTAATGCGAGGTTGGTACACTTCTTCGAAAGCTCTTCAATATGAAGTATGATGGTACTCTTTGGGGTTAGAGATTATGTCCTTAGGATGGTAGACCTAAAGACGAAGCTTCAAGCTCTTAATGTTTCCATTCCGATGCTTGTATTGTGCATCAAGCCTTGAACACCCTTCCATCGATTTTGGGATTATAAAGACAAATTATAATTCCCAAGATGAGACTTGTCGATGAATGACTTGATAGCAAGGGTGGTGGCAAGAGGAAGAGAAACTTAAGAAGGAAAAAGGGCATCTAGCCTTATATGTTTCGGTTCCCACAAAAAGAAGGATAAGAAGTTCGAAATCGTACTCGAAAGGTACTCATGAAACTACCGGTCAATCGACAATATGGGTCCAAAGAAAACATCCTTCAAAAGGGATGGTGGCCACTGCTTCTTTTGTAAGAAGAAAGGTCACATAAAGAAGGACATGGAAAGTTTAAAGCTTGGTTGTCCAAACGTGAGCCTACGGTAATGATTCTTTGGCACTTGTTTGTGAATCCAACCTATCGAAGCACCATCCAGTTCTTGGTGGCTCGATAGCGGTGCAACTAATCATGTTGCGTTTACCATACGGGATTCATAAACCGAGGAAGCCAAATCGGGATGAGTCAAGACTCACGTGGGAAATAACGAGAAAGCGATGTTGTGTTTGTGGGAGATGTAATCTTGATTCTAGACTACGGTTTTAGATTAATGTTGAAAGACACTTTTTATGTACCTTCTTTTAGACGGAACTTAGTTTCCGTATCGTGTTTGGACATGTATGGCTACTCTTTTGAAATCAAGAACAATGTTATTTCTTTGTTTCTTAATTCAAATAAGGTTGGGTGCTGTAATATGTCCAACGGATTGTACAGATTGTGTTTGTCTCCCAATGACATATACGTCGCTTATACGGCGAAAAGGTTGTTTCCAAAAGACCACTACCTAAGGAACAGTCTTATGCATTGTGGCATAAAAGGCTTGGTCATATCTCTAAGGAAAGAGTAGAAAGGCTGATAAAGACTAACATCCTGCCTGCTCTTAAAGATGACCTAGAGATATGCGTAGACTGTTGTAGAGGTAAAATGACCAAGATAAGGAAGAAAACTGCAGTCAAAGTTCGATCTGTTGGAGGTCATTCACACCGATATAAGTGGACCCTATACGGCAACCTTATGTAGAAATTTTTATTTCATTACATTTATTGATGACTATTCTCGATATGGCTATCTCGTACTTGATTAAAGAAAAGTCCGAGTCTCTTGACAAGCTCAAGATTTTTCGGATTGAAGTCGAGAACAGTTGGGAAAGGTCATAAAGGTTGTTAGATCCGACCGAGGTGGAGAGTATTATGGCAAACATGGCGATGCCGGACAGCTTAAGGGCCATTTGCCAAATACTTAGAGGATTCAGGGATAGTGGCTCGGTTTACTATGCCCGGAAGTCTGAGCAAAATGGTGTAGCCGAAAGGCGCAATCGCACCCTTATGGAAATGGTGAGGAGTATGATAAGTAGGACAAATTTACCTGTTTTTCTGTGGGGTGAAGCTTTGAAAACAGCTTTGTACATTTTGAATCGTGTACCTACTAAAGCTGTTCCATTGACTCCTTTTGAGTTATGGACTGGATGTAAGCCTAGCTTAAACCATCTTAAGGTTTGGGGATGTCCTGCAGAAGTGAAGTTATACAATCCAACATTAAGTAAGTTGGACTCCAGAACCACTCGGTGTTACTTTGTATCTTACCCTGATCATTCGAAGGGATATCGGTTCTATAATCCCAATGGAGGCACAAGAATTGTGGAATCACAGACAGCTCCTAATGAAGTTCCTCAAGGCTCTCAGGTACAGGATGAGGCTGTTGTTGTTCCAGTAAGGAGATCCATTAGGGAGAGACGATCAGCTATACCACCAGACTATTTAGTATATATAGGAGAGCAAGACTACGATATTGGTTACAGAGGCGATCCAGGTGACTTACACGGAAGCTGTTTCTTGTCCTCGGTCGGGCCGTGGTTGGATGCAATGAGAGATGAAATGCGATCTATGAAGCATAATGGAGTTTGGGAACTTGTTGAATTACCTGAAGGTCATAGACCCATTGGCTGCAAATGGGTGTATAAGACTAAAAGGGACTCCAAAGGAAAGATTGAGAAGTTTAAAGCCAGACTGGTAGCCAAGGGTTTCACTCAGAGAGAAGGAGTAGACTATGAAGCAACTTTTTCTCCAGTCTCTTCGAAAGATTCTTTGAGAGTGATCATGGCATTGGTAGCTCATTTCGATATGGAGTTACACCAGATGGATGTTAAAACTGCCTTTCTCAATGGAGACCTTAATGAAGAAGTCTATATGATGCAGCCCGAAGGTTTTGCGGCAGATGATTCAGGTACGCTTGTATGTAGACTGAAAAAGTCTATTTATGGTCTCAAGCAAGCTTCTAGACAATGGTACTTGAAGTTTCATAGTGTTGTCGCTTCATTTGGTTTTGTTGAGAACAAAGTAGATCAGTGTATATACTCCAAGGTCAGTGGGAGGAAATTCATTTTCCTTATACTCTATGTTGATGATATTCGCTGCAGCGGTGACCTTGGTTTCTTGCATGAGACAAAGCGGATGTTGTCAAAGAACTTTGATATGAAAGACCTTGGTGAGGCGTCTTTTGTCCTTGGCATTGAGATTCGTAGGAATCGTTCTCGCCGACTATTGGGTTTATCTCAGAGGGCATATGTTGATCGTATCTTAGAAAGATTCAACATGCAGCAATGCAAGCCAGGAATTGCTCCTGTCAGTAAGGGTGATAAGTTGAGTCTGTCACAATGTCCTCATTCAGATTTTGAGAAAGCCCAAATGAAGAATGTACCTTATGCTAGTGCACTTAGGAGTATTATGTATGCTCAAGTATGTACTAGACCAGATATTGCTTTTGCAACAGGACTTCTAGGCAGATATCAGTCAAATCCAGGACACGATCATTGGGTTGCTGCCAAGAAGGTTTTGAGGTACTTAAAGAGGACAAAAGATTATATGCTGATTTACAAACATGTTCAGGACCTACAGCTAGTTGGGTATTCGGATTCAGACTTTGCTGGCTGTCAGGATGAAAAGAAGTCGACAACAGGTTACATCTTCAAGTTAGCAGGAGGTGCAGTATCATGGAAAAGTGAGAAACAGAAATCAATGACATCCTCTACCATGCAAGCGGAGTTTGTAGCATGCTTTTCGGCAGCTACTCAGGCAATTTGGCTCCGGAACCTCATTAAGGAGTTGACCGTATTTGATTTTGTGGATAGGCCCATACAGTTGTATTGTGACAATAACTCTGCAGTGTTGTTTGTTAACAACAACAGAGGTCTCAAGGGATCTAAGCATATGGAAGTCAAGTACCTGACTATAAAGGAAAAAGTTCAGGATGGTGACATTGCAGTAGAGCACATTTCAACAGATGATATGATTGCAGATCCGCTAACTAAAGGCCTTCGCCCTTGTGTATTTGATCGACATGTCATTAACATGGGCTTAGGAGTATCATGGGATACTGTTAATTAGTGGGAGCTGTTTAGTTTTATGTTGCTCTGATGAAGTTTGTATCTGATTTTGTTACATTTTGTAATATTTGAATATGTATCAACTCTTTTGCATTCAATGAGGCATTTGTGAATGTAGATTTATCAAGTTGAGTATACATATTTGATGAAAATCTCGAGACATTGTGTAAACCTTGAGTACAGGCTATGGGGCATTCTTAGTATTAGCCTTAACGATATGTCTTGTTACACATAAAGTACAGTTAACTATCAAGGTAAGACATATGAAGGTTCGTTGGAACCATGAAGGATATTCTCTGGTGACACATTAGGTTTTGTGACACTTAAGGAGAGAGAATTTGGACTAACAACGTGGACAACACATAAAGTATCACTCATTATGAGGTATTGTCCATTTGACACACTACCATATTGAATCCATATTAGTAAAGTTAAAAGCACTCGTGACCATGGAAGGCTCTGCGTGAGTACATGCAGTTACCGCCATGATTCGGTGTTCGAGACTTTATGGGATCGGATTGACTATTAAGAATAATCTCTAGACCAATATAAGGGTGCGCACACAGTTAATTTCAATTAATATCGCCCAAGTGGGAGAATGTAAGAATTTCCTAATGTGGGCTTCATTAATTGAAATTAACTGAATTAGTTTGGTCTAATAAAGGTAAGATATATGGGTTCTTAATAAGTCTAATATGGGACTGGCTGGTGTGGGCCGAGTACGGCCCGGCCCGTAATGAGAGGGCCCGTGGTCGAAGACTCTATAAATAGCGCTCAAGTCCCTCCCCTAACCTGATGATGCACAATTTGACTCACATACGGATTTAGAGAGAACTTTCTTCTCGTGAGTGGCAATCTCATTAGGCCAGTGTTCTAACGAAGGGATAGGGGAGAAGCATTTGAGTTTGTGTTCGGAAACCGTCGCAAATTCCGCGTCAAGTTCGATGGATTCCAAACCAGGTACACGAATCTACAATTTCTCCATTATCGTGTTTCGGTTTCTAATTATGGTGATCCTGGGCATGCCATTTTCGTGGCCTACAGTCCAAGCCGCCATCATCTGCTCCCGGCGGTGTGGACTCCAAATGAGGATCCGAAGTGGCGGTCATGATCATGAGGGCCTTTCATATTTGTCCGAAGTCCCATTCGTCATGCTTGACATGATGAATCTTCGTTCGGTTGCCGTGGATGTGGAGGATGAAACAGCGTGGGTCCAATCCGGCGCAACGGTGGGCGAGCTTTACTATAGGATTGCTGAGAAGAGCAAAACCCTAGGCTTCCCAGCCGGCATCTGCCCCACGGTCGGCGTCGGCGGGCACTTCAGCGGCGGAGGCTACGGCACGTTGCTGCGCAAATATGGCCTTGCTGCCGATAATGTAATCGACGCGCAGTTGGTCGACGCCCAAGGTCGGGTCCTGGATAGAGAATCAATGGGGGAAGATCTCTTTTGGGCCATCCGAGGCGGAGGAGGCGGCAGCTTCGGCGTGGTAGTGTCCCGGAAAGTCAAGCTGGTCCCGGTGCCGTCAACCGTGACCGTGTTCACACTCCCGAGAGGACTTTGGAGCAACACGCGACGAAGCTCGTGCACCGAGTGGCAACTTCTCGGGAACAAGCTCCCCAACGACCTATTCATGCGGGTGATCTTGCACAGACACAACTCCGGTCCCAACAGGACGAGGACGATGCAAGCCTGGTTCACCACCTGTAACAGTCTGAATTTTCGATCCTTTTCCCAGGATTTAGGAAATGAATTTGATCAATGCACTTATAGTGAGATCTCACCCGGGACCCGCGCATTCTCGGGATGCTAACCTTAGGGGTAGGGCCGTTACGGGATTGAGTTCGCACGACCAAAGAACTCGACCTGGGTTCGATCTTCGACCATATGGATTGACGAGGGAATGTTTTGAGCCAACCGAGACCGGTCTACTTGATTGATCGTGTCCAAAGGGCACTAGTGACAGACCCTTGCAATTATATGACAATCGAGGTCGTCTTGGTTCGAGCAAACTTAAACGTGATTTGACTTAGTGTCGGTCATGGGTCGAGAGCGCGTAATCCCAATGAGCCACCCGTTAGCCAGAGATAAGCTAAAGTCGCGATTGTTCGATTTTAGTCATTTCTTGGAATTCGGGCCCGAGAATCGAGAATTTTGAAAGTGACAATTTTGGATGGCCGATGACGTTTTGGCTTGGCCAACCTTGGGGCCACCCATTTCTGCAAAAAAAAATGGATTTCGGTCCGGGACCGGGAAAATTACGATTTTGCCCCTGTGGACACCGATGTTGGATTTTGAGGCCGTTTGAGGTTATTTTTCGAGGCTAGTGTCATTTTGGGGTGGCCACGCACATTCGGAGTGGTTTTGGCCAAAAATTGGAATTTCGACAAAAATTGGAAAAATAATATTATTTTATTCCCGAAACTTTGACGTGGATTTTCGAGGGCTTGCGTGATGAATTTCGCGATTCCGACGTCATATTATGTTGGCCACGCACATATGGAACACGTATGTGCGAAAATTGGAATTTCGGTTCGGGATTGGAAAATTACGAAAATACCCCTAGGCCATTTTTAATTAATTCCGAAATTTGGATTTAATTTTGGGATTAACCAAGGTGAGTTAGGCTTAACTCAGGTCTGGTCAACCATGGTTAAGAGCAAAGGACCATTCTACCCCTAAATTATTGGATGAGAAGGAAAGAAAGCCATTGGATTAAGGGCAAAATTGTCCAATTGGCTTAGATTGAGACACATGAATTCCACTCACACCAACTTTGACTCATTTGACCAGACTATTCTCTCTCTCTCGTGAAGACCATTCAGCCATTTTCCCCCAAAATTTTCTCTCTTTTCCCGTTTCCATTTCTGCAGATTACGTTTCTGCTCAAACCGGTACTGTTCACGCCGGAACAGTACCAGCCGGAGCTGCTGGCCGCCCACCAGCCGTCGCCACAGCACCCTTGGACCTCCCTCTCACCTGTTCAGCCACCACAGCCCCGGTTTTTGTCCAAAACAGCCTTGTTTCTCTCTTTTTCTCTTTCCCGGTCTGCAAACAGTACCGCCGGAGCTTCGCCGGAGCTCCGATCGCCGTTCCGTCGACACCCAGCCGTCCAGCCTCGCCGTACGTCGCCGTCCAGCACAGTCCGTACAGTGTCCGTACGGTACTGTTCACCGTCCGTACGGATCACTGTTCACGCCGGACCGTACGGACGCGCGGCTGTCACCGGCACCTCGCCGGCCACCGTCCCAGCCCTGTCCGTACGGGGTGTCCGTACGGAAGTACTGTTCACCGCCGTACGGGGGATCACTGTTCACGCCGTCCGTACATCGCCGGCGACGCTGCTGCCGCTGTCCCGGCCCGTTCGAGCCCCGTTTTGTCTCGCCTCTTTGGGTAAGTGTTTTCCCCAAATGTCATTTAGGACCTTGGGTATTTCTAGACTCGTTTGAAGTTCGGTTTAAGTTATTTTAGGGACTGTTTGTGGCTGTTTCGTGGCTGTCTTCCGGACTAAGTTAGGGGTTGAATGTTTGGTGGTTGTGGGCTGATTGGGCGACGAAATTCGAGGTTTAGGAATGCTGAGTTAGGGCTGTGATGTCGAGGATCGATCGGGAATTAAATGGGTGATTAATTGGAAATGTATTGGCTTGATTGGGTTTATCGGATTAATTGTGTAGTTTGCTGTCATTGGCTTGTTCTAGTTTGTCCTTGGGCCGAATGTGATGTGGTGCTATGCCGTGTGTGTGGCCGTGAGGTGTGGTGGCGTGGACATGTGAATGTGCATTGAGTTCGTGTGCCGAGTGTGGGTGATCATGTGGTGTTCGTGTGATGAGAATGCGTGTTTGTGTGAGATGTGAATTTGGTGTGTGGCTATGTATGTGTGAGGCGTGTATGTTTGGCTGTGCGTGTGCTGGTTGTGTGTAAGTGTGGTTTGAGTGGAACGAGGATATGGAAATGTAGGATTGGTTGGAAAGGTCCGTCCTGAGGCATGTACGTTTACGCGGGACGATGCCGTCCCTGACGAGGTGACGATGCCCGGCCTGACGAGGTGTCGATGCCTGACGTGGTCAGAAGACCGTTGGTCTGATGCGTTTTACGCGGGTGCGGTAGAAGGAAAGTGTGTGTAGGATTCCGTCCTGAGGCATGTACGTTTACGCGGGACGATGCCGTCCCTGACGAGGTGACGATGCCCGGCCCGACGGGGTGACGATGCCTGACGAGGTCAGAAGACCGTTGGCCTGATGCGTTTTACGCGGGCGCGGTAGTGGTGGAAAGGTTGAAAATGAGTGGGATTTGGCAAGACAAGCGAGAGGATTGTGGAAAGTGACGCATGGTGTGAGTAGCGTGCGAGTGTGTTTGTATCGCGTGATGTGATGCTTAATTATGGGGTAGAAACTGCTAGGCACAGTATGGGACGTGCCCAAGTGGTTTCTGTCTTATAATTAAGGCACGCGCGCGTCTGTGATTCCTTGCTGTGATGTGTTGGCTGTGTTATTGTCTAACGTGCAGGAACGTGCGTGATGGATTCCAGGTAGGGTCGCATGTGATTGTTAGTTTGGCCGATCGTTGTGTGTTATGTGTGTTTTTGTCTGGCGGTACGTGAGTGCCTACGTGGGGTTTGAGGTTGTACACTCATTGAGATTCGTCTCACGGTTGTATAACCGCCACTTTCAGACCCCCGGCCCTAAACCCGGGAAGTACGCCTTTTCTTTTTGGAAGTCCGGGGAGCTACTGTTGGTGCCCAGTGGAGCTGCAGGTGAGTTCCAGAGATTCGAGCCAGAGATTCAGAAGCAGACTGGAGGAGGGCGATCCTTAGGTTTTTCCTTAAGATTTTTGGGGGTTGTATAAATCGGGTTGATCCATAGGGAAGTTAAGTTAACCAGACCCTGATATTTTGTTGACGGTGATTTCGGATGCTAGTTTGTTAATTATGCCTGTAATATGATGTATGTATATTTGGTGTTGTATGAATATGTGGTTGCTGGACTGTTCTGTTGTTCTACCCCGTTGTCGTCATTATTTGTCCGGGGTTTTGTTATTCGCTTCCGCATGTGGCTCTGATGTTTGGGTTGGGTCGGCGACGTTCCTGGGACGTCGCATCATTTCGACCGGAGCAGGGGATGTCGCGAGCTCGATGGGGTTCGGGGCGTGACACCACCCTTTACCTCGGTGGGGTCGATGCGCTCCTCAAGGTGACGAAGAGCAGCTTCCCCGAGCTCAACGTCACGAGACAGGACTGCACCGAGATGAGCTGGATCGAGTCGATCCTCTACTTCGCGGGGTTTCCGATCGAAGGGCCCTTGGAAGTCTTGCTCAACAGGAGCTCCAACACCAAATTATACTTTAAGGACAAATCGGATTACGTGAAGGAGCCAATCCCAGAGAGTGGCTTAGAGGGGATGTGGGAGAGGTTCTTTGAGGAAGATGAAGGCGTGGCTCAAATGATTTGGACCCACTATGGCGGGAAAATGAGCGAGATTTCCGAATCTGCCCTTCCCTTCCCTCACAGAGCTGGGGTTTTGTACAAGATCCAGTACTTTACGTCATGGACCGATGGAGGCAACGAGGTTGCTTCAAAGCACGTGAGTTGGATACGAAGCTTCTATAGTTATATGGCGCAGTATGTGTCGAAATCGCCTCGAGAGGCCTATATCAACTACAGGGATCTCGACATAGGAACGAACAACGTCAAAGGCAACACGAGTTATACGCAAGCAAGCGCTTGGGGAAAGAAGTACTTCAAGAACAATTTCGACAGGTTGGTGCATGTGAAGACCGCGGTTGATCCGCGCAACTTTTTCCGACACGAGCAAAGTATTCCTCCGTTTTCATTTTAATTTAGGTGTATTCCTCGCAATAATAAGACGATTCTTTGTAATAAATGGAACATTCCACAATATCGATGGTTGAACTTTGTGTGGGTTTTCTTAGGGTGCTTCACATGGCAATTTTTATCATATCTCGGGCTATTTGTTAAGGGTCTCGTTGATAATTGTCCCTAGGACACTACTTTTTTTGTTTTTATCAAAGAAACATTTTATTCATTCCCATGAATATACAATAGAAATACGCAGTCCAACTGCAAACCAAGACAACAAAACAAGTTCCATATAAGAAAATGAATCATTAGAGCAATGATATGGGTCATACGCTCAAAGAGCAGATCTGGGACTTCTTCAAACCAAAATTGGCGGCCGATTACCGAATTCGTCTTTAATAATGAGCACACACAGATATCTCCATTTGGTTCTGCGGCTTTGCCTTTCGGCAGTGCCTGCCTAGGTTCGGCGTCTCCAATACCATCGCCGTGCAGAGTAACAAGGTTGAACATGCATAGATCTAACACCTGTGAGAGGGAAACCTTCACGAAACTTGTCTGATATCCTTCGAAATTGGACTTGTACAACAACGAAACCCGAGAAAAGCGAAATCCCAAAATCATATATGCAAAAAAGACCTCATATCTAGACTAGATCGGAATAGAAACCTCCCCAAAACAAGAGAGAAAAACTTCTAGATCTAGACTAAATCAGAAGAGAAAAACTCCTCAAACCGGGAGGAAAGCAAGAAAAAGAGAACAAAGAACCAATTCAGCCAAAGAAAAAGGAAAAAAGGGAGGGAGGGAGATCTAGCTCAAACCCTCCCCTCCATGGAAGTCGAAGAAGAAAACGGTGTGAAGATAGGAGGGAGAGGAGAGACTCCTAGAGAGGAAAGGGAAAAAGCGTTATATCCCTAGGACACTAGTTAAATTAACTAAAAGTGAAAATAACAAATTCCATGGCACTTTGAAAATGAAATAATCACATTTTTTTTTATAAAAAAATCACTTACGTCAAATAGTGAATTTGAAATTTCCAAAACATATTTAATGAGATCCAATAAACAAGCGTTCAAAGGGCACTTATTTTCTGACAAAAAAAAAAAGGCACTTATTTAACATTTTCCATAACATTTGACCAACGATTTCTTCATTGTCCAACATCCAAATGACTCCATTCTCTAAGATTTTATATGGTCTCGATGCCCGTAATTGTACTTAGATTTCTTGAAATTGCATGAAAATTTTCACATCTCTTAATTATGACAAATAATGAATCTTTTATGGCTTCAGATAGTTAATACGATATTCATTTCATAGACCTGAGTGTATTGCCCTGGTTAAGCCAAAATCTCAAATCCTGGATTTTTCAATTCAGTCCGTCAATATTGAGCTCATTAGAAAGGTCTCATTACAAGGTTTATTACGTAAATATCACGTAAATGAAGCATTGGGTGCTCGAGATAGGCTCCCGAGAAGATGATGTAAAAGCATTTTGAGAAGCATACTCTTCAAGATGAGGAACATGGTCCTTGCACAGGTGAAGTTGCACAAAAGAACATCAACTTTGTGGTGATGTCTAGTCACTAGGGCAAGGAGATTGAAAGATGGTTGAGAAATGCCTCTACGAGTTGGAAGTACAAAAAAAAGTACGACAATCACCAGGGATAATCGTAGTTCAAAATGATGTTACCATTAATCATTTGAAAGAAAATTTTTCAACAGAAATGTTAGTAATCTTAAAGGGCAATTTTTATGTATGAGGTGCATGGCTCGTATATCAATCTTGATTGTAAGAGATGACTTGATCAAGGCACATCATTCTGTTGCACGTATTTGAAATATGGTTAGGTATGTGAGGGATTCTCCCATGAGAGCTGTTGCGTTGGATACTAGAAAAAGGTTGAATTTTGTGAAGTATTATTGTTGACTAATTTATGATGATAGTGTGATGGCTAAAGAGATGCATGATAAGGTTAAGGACAACTTGTAGTGTTTGTACATATTTTATGAGCAATCTTTTCTTGATTCTAGTGACCAAAATTTGGGTGATCAAAATGTGAGTTCTAGTGATAGTGTACCTAGTGGATGCAATGACAATAGTGATGGTGGTAACAACGAAGTTGATTTCAATTTTAGAAGCCCATTGAAAAACTTTATCAACAAGGAGAAAAGAGTGTTTGATAAGAACAAATTTTAGATTTATCATTATCTTTAAGCTGATTGTGAAGATGTTTTTGATCTTGACCTTTTGATGTGATGGAAGAGTACCGGCTCATAGTATAAAATCTCATCTTTGATGAATCAAGATGTTTTGACTATTTCGATACTACCGTTGCTTTAGAGTAAGCTTTTAGTACATTTGGTCGTGGGCTTGATGCTTTCAAAGTTCTTTGACTCCTAAGTGGTGCAAGCTTTGATTTACAATGAAGATTGGTTGAGAGTCGTTCCCGTATTAATTAATGTTGAAGATTACATTGAGAATGAGGAAAAATTTGAGTTGAGTAAGTCACTATATTTAATTTTATCTTGCAATTCCTTTGTATATCTAATGAGTGAATGCCTTATTTAATCTCTTTTTTTTTTTTCATATATGGATTATCTTACCGAGGAGATTGTTATCAACAAATAGAGTTTATGAATTGAAGACTTAAGTGGAATCAATATATATGGTGAGTTTTCTACTAATTTGTTTTATTTCAAGGACTAATGACTTTTATTTAATACTATTGTTAAGTAATTTACTATGCTTGTTATTTTGTTTTGTTTTCTAGTGATTATAATTTGAAATAATCTTTTATGGACGAATAAGAAATGAAGTCTTATAATTCATACTTTTTGTTATTTGTTTTGAATTTTTTATTGTTTATTTTATTTTACTTGAATGCTCCTTGTAACTGGTGACAAAAAGATATCTTTATCCTAGTACAGGTGTTTCAATTCAGTGTTCAGCGATCGCCATCTTTACCTTCATGATTAAAGAAGGGAAAGTTCCCTAAACTTTTGACATTGAGTAATTTGTGCAAAAACTTACGCAAGCACAACCAAACCGAGGTACTAATGTAGGCATATCAAGTCTTGGATTATGGTGGTTGTTTTGGTGATTTGGAGAGTTACACTGTGATGTTCTCATTTTTATGCAAAATGAATTTGGCAGGTGAGTGGTTCCGGGTCAATAGGGTCGCATCTTAGTTTCTATAGCTGGGAACTGACCCTGACATGGTAGGTTCTAAGTTTCAAGTCTTTTCACGTCTGGAACCTACTCACCCTGGAACTGATAACCATAAGTAAGCCATTCTAATTTGTGATTCTGTCTCATCTGACGATTTGAAGTGGCTTTAACATTTTGGTGGTTCATCTCTTGGTTTTTCGGCATTTTGCGGGTCCGAAACTCCATCAAATTGCTCTGTGAGTTCTAAACCCCTAAGTCGTCCTAATATCCAATTTAACACATAGAAATGCATATTTCTAGGTCTTTGCAATGCTTAATTCATTTCTTGAATTCGCATGATAATTAGGCCATTATACTCCCGCAATTAAAATAGCAATTGCATTTTCAAATAGATCCGTCATAACATCAAAAATATGTCCAGTTCTTCAATATATCTATAAGGAAAAGTAATTTGGAGGATTGAGTGAGATGTATTCCCTTTTAACATTTAGTTAAGGTGTAAGCATAAAATATAATAAGTGACAACAGCACACATACTTAACAAAAAAAGGACAAAATAGAATACCCAAACATGAAAAAAAAACGAAACTATCGTAATTTAAGAAAAAGTTAAATTAAAATCCAGATTAATTAAATGGAAATATTTTATCTTTAAATAAACATTAACAGACATTTCATTTTCTACCGGAGTTACAATTAAATGTTAAAATTAACCAATTAAAAAAGTGCATATTTTACCACCGTCTCATGAAAACTCAAACAGGATTTTACAAAAATTATAACCTACATGCGAAGTGTGGGGTTTTGGACTTGGGCCACCCTTAATGAGCTTGACTGAAGCCCAATCCACAAACCTCGAAAGCTCCTTTGGAGGAACATTTGAGATAGGAACTTCTCTTTACTAAAAGAATTGACAATGCATGTCACATTTGAGGGCATGGAAGTCACAGTGAAAAGGGGTGTGGGTGTGCTCTGGGTGATGGTGAGAAACTGAAAGGGAAAATGACATTAATAATCCTTAAATTTTTGTTCAATTTGTAATGTCATCCTTGAACTTTTAATTTGTTCAATTTAGTCCTTGAACTATTCCTAAATGTTCCATGTAATCTCTAAACTTTCAACTTATTCAATCTAGTCCCTCAACTTTCTATACAAAGTTAAATCCGTCCTTCGATACTATTCATAAGTTTTCATGATTACACTATTATCGAGGTTTAGAAAATCTTTTCATCTTAATCCATTTCCTACATAAACAAAAAAAATACACTATCTTTCTATTACCTTTTCACTTTTTTAGTCTTTATAAATACGATAGTTCCATTTAAGTATATTTTAGCCTATGATTTAAAACTAAATTTAGAGTTGTATCAAATTGATGTTCTTGCTATTTTAAGTGTAAGTATTTTTATAAGAATATCTGAAACGATGATAATTTATCTATAAATACTTGTACTTCTATTAATCTAAATCTTGTTCTAAAAATTTTGAAAAGATTAAATTTTTCATCTTTTTTGGGTTTCGTGTTTTCTGAATTAAGAAAAGCTAGAAAACTTAATTAAAAAAACACAAAATACAAATATATGAAAATTTTATCGGTATGAAAAATTAGGAACAAGATTTTGATTAATATAAGAATATCTATTGATATCAAATAACAGGTATATCAACCTAACACAACTCTAAAAGGGGTTTCACTTTCATTATTATAAAGATCATAAGCTAAAATATATGTAAATGGAATTATCATAATATTTATAAGGACCAAAGAGGTAAAAAGGTATTGAAAAGGTAGCATTTTTTTATGTAGGAAGTGGATTGAAATAAAAAAAATTATAAATTTGGACAAT